GGATCTCCTCCACTTGGCGGCGCAGCTCGGCGTTGCGCCTGTTGAGGCCCCCGATAATCCGGCCAGCGTCACGCACCCGGTCCATCAGGGTCGTCGCGTAGTGAAGGCCCTGTAAGAAAGATGAGAGGTCAAGAGGAACACCGTTGGATGTATAACTAGAAATAGCAAGCGCAATACTTACCAATGTCAGGAACTTGGCTGACTTGCCAAGCAGAGCCTCCGAGGGCAAGGTATATATGTCCCGAGCCATGTCAGGATGAAGCGCACCCCGGAGGAATGCGGCGGAGGAATCTCCTCCGGCCGACACTCTATCCCCCCGGGACAGGCCCCCCCAGCGGGCGACCAAGGGGTCGCTTGCCTCCCCCGTCGGGATCTCGCCCACCACCCGCGATAGAAACGGCTCGTTGTCGCCCGCGGGTAGTCGGCACAGGTCGTGCACGGAGGGAGGACGCGGGTACTTCCTTATCGCCTCCCGATTGGGTCCTGCCGCGCCTCGAAGAGGGCCCGCCTCTGCTCGATCCACCTATCCCGGGGCTGCCCGGCCTCAATCTCCAACGGGGCATCCTTCGAGCCGGGCTTTGGGTCGGCCGATGGGCGTGGAGAAGAAGCCGACGACGCCCGGCAGCCTAGAAGGGATCGGAGGTTCACCATTTCTGCAAGAAGTCGGACAAGAGTTAAGACTAAGGGCGAGTCACGGAATACTCGGACCGGGCACTATTAACATACCCCGAGGCGTCGGACTGAGACCCGCCTCCACCAGCCACCGCTCGGTCAGTTCCGGATGGCCTGGGAGCTGGGGAGAACCTCCCTGAGCCTCCCCAGATCCCGGCGCTCTTCGTCGCTCAGGCTCGGGGTGGTATTATCGATCACCCTCACGGACCACCGGACCCCGAAACCCCAATCTCTCGCATAACTGACATAAAAAAACCTCCCCTTCCATCCTTTGTTATTGGAAGGGGCCCCCCCGACTCGAAAACCGCTCGGACTGACAGGAAGTAACCCCCCAACCTCTTAAAGACGATAGCAGGAAAGGAAAAGGTTGAGGGTGGGGGTGATATTGGCGTAGTGGCATTCCCCCCGGAATGCCACTAGGTAGCGCCAAGAGTTCGGCGCCACCTAGGATGGCGAGATTCGCCACAGAGAGATGCAAGAGACAATGAGGGGGTGAAGGGGAAGGCGCAGACCCGCCTCCAGGGTGTCTAGGGTTAGCGCAAAACCCTTCGGAATCGGGTCGTAGGCCCGCTGCCCCGATTCGGGAGCGCTGAGGATATAATCCTCCAGGATACTATAGCGTTCCCGGAGTCTCCTCAGCGATGACCCACTCACGGTGGAGTCGAGGTCGTGCGGCCACATTAAGGCCTCAAGGGCCCGCATCGCTTCCCCATCGGAGGACTGGACGGGGGACGGCGGAAGGGGTCTCTCACTAGCTCTATTGGAGGATGAAGAAGAGGAAGAATAAGAGGAGGTCATCCTCACTGACCTTAACGGGAAACAGGAAGGGGCTACTTGAAGAAGAGAGGCGACGCTGGAGGCGAGGAGACGATTGGAAAGGGGACGGCGAGATCCGAAGAAGATGACTCAGCAGCGAGAGATGGGAACGAAGCCGGACGCGCCCTATTTAAAGGAGAGATCCCGCCGAAACCAGCGTCCCTTCGCCTCCCAAAAGTGTGCGACAGCCCACTCACGTGCTCGCCTGCCCGCCACGTCGCGTCAGCGAGGCCAAAGGACGTCCCGCCATAAATGAAGGTCTAACGCGGCACCTCAGGGGCAAGCCAAACAAACGACAGAGCCCTGGCGCCTCGATCTCGATGCCTGAAAGCATGCTGCGACGCAAAGAGCTGGCCCCTAAGAACTCACAAGGAAGGGGGTTCTCAGTCCCCCATCACGGACAAGTTGGTATGAAGGGACAACAACGCAAGTAGCTACTCGGCTGCCGACCGCCCGAGACCATCGCCTCTGCGCGGCCCGCCCGCCTGAGTCGTGCTCCTCGGCTCCATTATGCCCGAGTACCA